TTTAAAGGCAGTCTTGAATTATTTTTTTAACCTCTAAGTTTTAGAGAGGTTATTTTTATTGTTTTATGCTAAAACCTTTATAGGGCTTATTATGTGGTAAAGTCTCTTATGCATTCATTTAAATTATATGASATAGGTACAATAATTATTCACATTTTATTGACACAAAAACTAAAGACCAAATTAATCAAGTAAATTGTCTCAACTCCCAAAGGCTATATTACACCTTCAAAAATTCAAATTTTATGCAAAACAAGATGTCTTTTCAAATAAAAATACAAATTGCTCAAATTGCCTCACTTTTCTTCCTGAGCGCAACCGCAGATAGGTAGCTCAAGATGTCTTCCTACCACCCTCCAACTGTCAAAAAGGTATACAGCTCAGTGGTAGAGCGCTTGCTTAGCATGCACAAGGCTCTGGGTTCAATCCCCAGCACCATGAAAAAACAACAACTCCAAGAAAATGCCTTCTCCCAGGGTGACCTAAGATTTACTCCTCCAAATGAAAATTGCCATTCCCTCAGTTCAAAAGAAAACATCTGGGCATGAGCAAATACACTATAGCTCTAAACATTCAGGAAGCATCTGCTTCAAAAAAAAAAAAAATCAAAATTAAATGAGTCTCTAGTGAGTAGAATTGAGAGGAKTTTCTATTCAGAATCACTCCCAAACCACAATTGGACACCTTCTGAAAAGCTGTTGATTCCTGCTATTCTCTCTACCCTTCTCTAGTTTATTGTATCACTTTTATCACACACACCAAAATTTTCCTTAAAGAAGAAGGAAAACTAAACTATGCTGTTAGAAATGAGAAGAGTGGTTATAAGAGAAACAAGGAGGAATTGGAAAAGGGTATGATGGGGGATTGTGTTGTTTCTTGACATGGTTACCCTCTTGAACATTCCTGGGCTACACAGTTAAATAAATTTTCTGTATGTGTGTTATATTTCAAAAAAAAATTTTTAAGCAAATACTATCAGTTAAATTACAGAAACAAAAAATATTCTAATTTCTTTTATTTAATCTCTCCTAGGACAAATAAGTTGCACCTACCAAATGGTTCTGCATATAGATGCAGAATTACAGTGAAATGACCAGCTCACAGACACTGTCCACCTTTTCATCCCACTTCTTCCCACACTTTTGTCATCCCATGCAGGTCTTCCCCCATATAATCCCACTCTCCTAGAACAAAGGGGAAAATGGCTCATGAAAAGGTTTTTGGGGCTGGGGATGTGGCTCAAGCGGTAGCGCGCTCGCCTGGCATGCGTGCGGCCCGGGTTCGATCCTCAGCACCGCATACCAACAGAGATGTTGTGTCCGCCAAGAACTAAAAATAAATATTAAAAAAATTCTCTCTCTCTCTCTCTCTCTCTCTCTCTCTCTCTCTCTCTCTCTCACTCTCTCTTAAAAAAAAAAAGAAAAGGTTTTTGTTTCCTTTAGCTCCTTCATTTAGACAAATGTTACTAAGATAGGCATAGTTACTCCACTCCCCTATGCCCACCCTCAAAATAAGGAAACCATGTAACAGCAATCACAACTTTGTAGCAGTTTAATTTTTTCAAAAATTGATTAGTGCTACTTGCTTTTTTAAATGTTCTAAAACTCATAGTGTTGTTATATATTTGCATAATGGATTTTAACAAAAAATAGTTCCTGGTGATAACCATACAATTGTAGTTTGAGAGAAAGGGATAAAAATGAATAGGTTGCTTTTGCTCAAGAGATCTAGTCATCCCCAGACCCTGATCAGAAACTAGACAAGTATGTTCATATGTAAAGCCTAAAAATAAATCAAGTTGGCTATGTAGTTTTCCCTCCCCAAACAAGATGGTAATGTTCCCGAAAAAGCAGTAGAGTTTTCAGAATTCAGAAATATACCTGAAGAAAAAAAATCGAGGATCAGGCATGGTGGTGGGCAGGGGCCATGAGAACTAACTAGCACACAGAATAATAATTAATAATAATTAATAATTTCTATACAATCAATTTCCGTTGACCATTCCTCACTGGCTAGGTACTATTAGGGATTTACCAAAAGAACCTGGGCATACATTTTGTGGCAGATAATATAAGCATTATAGACAAATCATTCAGTCTGGTCCTTATGCAAATGTTTAGACCCTCCTGATTTTCCACTGGCTCAGTCTTCTCACTCCCTGTTCTTCCAACACTAGCCACTTTCTCAACCATGTTAGGAAGCATAAATATGATTTTAAGACAAAACTATTCTCTAACACAGAGTTTCTCTTGTTTATGGTGGAATTTAAAATACATATATATTATATATTTCGTTTCATATATGTATCAAATGAAATACACATTTCATACATACATTATGGTATTTCATACATATATAAAATGAAAACACATTTCCAATTAAGGATTTCCATAAAAGCTAATTTAAAGTTAGCAAAGAATGACTACATTTGATTAAATGAAAAGAACCCAAACATGTAAAAAATTCTTAACAGTTTCCCAGGCAATTTCCCTTAAGCTTACCTGGAAAACATTGGACTTAACAATTGTCATCAAGTTGCTCGGCTAAGGTGAGCAACCACTTTTCCCAGCTCACAGAAAAGACTGCCCAGATTCCCTGAGAACAGGATTCAGCCATCAAAAATCACTTCCAATAAGGAGAAGGAGGGAAAAATTGCTTGAATAAAAAGTTAAGATTAGAGTATGTATGTTTTCAAAGGAGACCAAAGACTGTAAAATGCTTTTAGGGTCTTAAAAATGAGATAACGCTCTTCCACTTRATGTTCCCACAATTAATGGACACTGCTGCTATGGTTTATAAATGAACCTTCTTCTCCTTCTGCCTGTTTTCTGCCACTTACCCTGACAGCTGGACTCTTGTCTCTCAACATAGGTTCCCCTCCTCATTCTATTCAGCAAGTAATCTCACCTTTCTCTTTCATTTTCGAAAAAGCTTTGTTTAGCTGCTATCTTACTGACATTACAGAACTCATTAGTGAACCCAGCTAATCTCCCCTAATAAAAAATAAAAAGTCCAGGTTAGCAAATTTTAGATTTAATACATTATGGTATTTAATACATTGAAATTCATAATCAACTTTAGTCATACCTATTAGAGAAAGGACACACCCTACAGAAACTAAATTCTGCAAACACTTTTGAGTCAATTCTCAGTAATTTTTAACTTTGAGATGACTTCTCTTTAGTCCTTATTATATAAGCAAAAATATTTGTCTATTCTAATCCTAGCTATAATTGATTTTTGAGATTATACATTATTTCTAATAATCTATCATGATAATAAATAAATAAAAGAAAGTAATAAAGTGTCTGGTATGGAGCCTAGCCTATCCCATAATAAATCATCTGCAAGTAAATGGCAAATATTATCCCTTGTCAATTACAGATCTGTGAACAAACACTTTTAAGGTATTACAGCAGTGATTAAAAATAAATTCTAAAAAATATGTAAATATTCATTAMGTGCCCAATCTTAATACTATCTTCCAGTCTGGAGCTGTATGTTTTGTTTTTTTGGGTTGTTTTTTTTTTTTTTTTCCTTTGGAGAAGTGTCTTTTTACCAACACTGCCTTTTCTATTATTTACAAACAGAATGCCAACAGTAATTTTTTTTTAATWTTTTTTTTTTTTTTTTAGTTTTCGGCGGACACAACATCTTTGTTTGTATGTGGTGCTGAGGATCAAACCCGGGCCGCACGCATGCCAGGCAAGTGCGCTACCGCTTGACCCACATCCCCAGCCCCAAACAACATTAAATTTTAACCATGATTGTTTTCTTTCTGGCTCACTAAGGAATAGAATGTTGCCTCACAGCTTCTTTCTTACTCTCATCCCTGAATTAAATAGTCTAAGGTATCTTGCAGAAACTATAATTAGGCTCCTTCTTATGCCTTCTTTTGCTTTATTCATTTAAACCTAAAAGATAATGCTTTAGAATTGTGGGTCRTAGATCTATATTAGATTCATCCTGAAGGCTATTTCTACTTGAAATGGTCCCAGGCGTGTGGTATCAGACAAAAGATAAGAATAACTGTTCATGAGTTACTCATCAGGACCCTTCTACTCATCCCAAAGCCAATCCCCCACCCCTGAAAAAGGGAAAACAAAGAAAGAAATCCTATTTCCCTGTAGTAAAAGATATCATTTTGGCATCTCAAGTTTAAATTCTTAAAAATTTCCCTTTGGAAGATTGCTAGGCTTGTTCATAGTACATTACAATACATTAAGGTTTAAATAAAGGCATGAATTGCCAATGACCTAATGACCTGAACTAATTTTATGGTGAAAGATAGTCCAACTTCAAAGCAAAAATAAAGCAATGAACCTCTGAGGTCTCAATCTGTTGGTATAATCTGTCCACATAGTATCTGTCTGCTATAGTTTAGATTTGGAATATCCCCCAAAGGCCCAAGTCTTAGGGTTGGCCCCTAGCTGAGTACCACTGGGAGATGGTAGAACCTTTAAGAGTGAGGCTTAGTAGAGGATCTTAGGTCACTTAGTCACTTAGGTCACAAGATGGAATCTTGGGACCCTGACCTTCCTCTTTCTTTCTCTGCTTCCTGATGGCCATGAGGTAAGTAACTTGTCCAAAAATATGTTCTTGCTATGGTATACTGCCATAGGCCCAAAAGCAATGGGGTCAATCAACCATGAATTGAAACCTTCAAACCCATAAGCCAAAATAAACCTTTCCTTATTATAATTCGTTCATCTCAGGAATCTTTTATAGCAACAGAAAACTGATTAACACAATTAAAACACCATGGCAAAGACCCACCTTGACGAAGTTCACAGCTCTGAGCCAAAGAACTGATGATGATGATAAGCCATAATACAAAAATAGCATGCTCTAGAAAAGAACCAGTGGTCAAAGCATCCAGATATCAGTGGCAATACTGAGGAGGGAGTTGAAAACTCCAACCCTTCTTTTAACCAGCACAACCCCTATTTCAAAAGGAAGGAATTAAATCAACTAAAGTAATAAGAAATGGCTGCACTTACCTGAACTATGTCCCAGTTCATATCTACTTCCTCGTTAATATTGTTGGCACTTGCTGGAAACTTGACAGGCTGCCCCTGAGGGCACATTTCAGTCTTGATTTTCTTTAAAGGAGACTGACCAAATGTAAAGTCATCTTCACTCTCTTCCTTCTTGCATGCACCTTCCCACATGGTGCTTGTTGATGGTATTTCTGTACTATTAGTCCCACCCTCTAAATTGCTGGCTTTGCTCATTTCTTCTTCAATTTTCAGTTTTTTGGTCCTTTGAGCTGAATTTTTCCTTTTTGTCTTCGCTGTTTTCAGAGTCTGTACAGTGTCCAATTTGTTTTTTTCCTTTTCCAAATCAACATCAGCAATTGCCACAGAGCTATTCTATTAAGCCACAAAGAGAAGACATAAGAATTAGAAGATARAAACCAATTTCCCTAGGATACTACTCAGAAATTAAAAGGAACAAATTATTGATATACACAATAACTTGGAAGACTCTCAAGGGAACCATGTTGAGTGTGGAAAAAGCCAACCTCAAAGTTACATACTACATGATTATATTTATATAACACTCATGAACAGATTAGTGATTGCAAAGAGTTAGAGATGTGAGTGGGGGAGGCAGGAAGGAGGTGGGCTTGGCTATAAAAGGGCAACACTAGGGATCCTTGTGATAATGGATATGAAAACCTATGCATGTGATAAAATTGCATAGAACTAAATACATACAAGTGAATATAAGTAAAACTAGAGGAATCTAAATTATTAATATCAACATCCTGATTGTAATATTTTACTAAAATTTTGTAAGATAAGTGAGTTTACTATTGGGGACAACTGGATAAATGGTACATGAAATCCCTCTGTGTTATTTCTTACTACTACATGTGAATTGTTTAAAAATAAAGTTTAATTTTAAAAAATGAATCTATACATGCCAGGAAACAAAGATTAAAACTTATAATCAAAACTCAACAACGGAAAGAAGACACTCATAAAAGCTACATGTGCCATCTATTTAATCAAAAGGAGAGAGAACAGAAAACAGAATGTCAGCAGGGTAATAGCAGGCATTTTCTTTAATCAGAGTTCATCCAGCAGTCTACACAGGAATCCAGGGACTACTCACTTCACCCCCACTTTCTCTCCCCATGTGACAGCTCAGCTGTGAAGGAAGGAAACCAGACACTTAGTACTGGGGATAGAGCAATAAATATATTCTGCCTTTAAGAAGCTTACAGTTTCACATGCTAGCTTTGTTTCCAGTTATTTAAGTAACACAGATGGCACAAACAAAAACAACAATGCCCAATCTTCTCTTCTATCAAATATTTTTCCAGAGTTATTGACTATTAAAAACATTGCAGGACTGGGGATGTCGCACAGTGTTAGAGCACTTGCCAAACATGCATAAGGCCCTGGGTTCAATCCCTTAAACACAATGGATTCAGAAAAGAGATATGAAGATAATAAGATGCTGAAGCAGTAAGAGTTGATAATAACCTAATTAAATGAAATGCTATAGCTAAAAAACCAATATATCAGTTATAAAGGGAATTGTCAGCCACAGAGGAACAGAAAAAGGAAAAAGCAAATATGATCAGCATGGGCTGGGGCTGAGGCTCAGTGGTAGAGCATTCACCTAGCACACGTGAGGCACTGGGTTCAATCCTCAGCACCACATAAAAATGAAACAAAGATATTGTGTGTCCACCTACAACTAAAAAATAAATATTAAAAAAATATATGATCAGCATTCTTATAAGTAATGTACAAAAGAGAAGAAAGCTCAGCAAATAGATCAAGTATTTTGGTCCCAATGGTAAGAGAATCCTGCTGTGAGATGAATATTTCAGACTACCTTACCTCCACACAATTAAAACATTCAATTGTCACTGTGACAAGCACAATAGCTCCACCATAGGAAGCCTTCAATAAACAGTCAAGTCTCCCATTCTGAGTCCATGCTCATCAAGCAAATTTCGGATTCTTATTTATGGCCCAACTTAGGTCAGACTCAAAGGAGAAAAAGTGCTAGCTATCAGAATTTTAAGACCTTGTGGTGATTATTTCAAAGTGTTAATTATTAAACTAGCACTCCAATTATATACATCACTCCTGAGTATGGCTAATGTGAAAACACTCATGAGAAATAGATGAGTTCCTGAAATGCTGACTTAGAAAACCAGTGCCATCACATACTATCTATGTACTATGAGCAAGTCACTTAAAATCACTTGCCTCAGCTTTTTTACCTATAATATCTGGAAATAACAGCACCTCTCTTAGCCAACAGTTGTTGCTATGATTAAGATCATAAGAGTGAGCTGGGTGCAGTGGTACACGCCTATAATCCCAGAGGCTCAGGAGGCTGAAGTAAGAGGATCACAAGTTCAAAGACAGCTTCAGCAACTTAGCAAGGCCCTGTCTCTAAATAAAATATTGTTTAAAAGGAGATGGGTTTGTGGCTCAGTGGTTAAGCACCCCTGGGTTCAATTCCCCCTACCAAAAAAAAAGATCGCAAGAGTGCAATGCTGAGCATATTGCTTCATTAACAATATTACTATTTGCTAACATTGCCATTATTACTAGGAGAGGAAAAAGAAAGCAAATGAAGAAACACAATGGTTCTGATGATAAATATTATTAAGAGAAGGTTAGGGGGTTAGGGTTGTGGCTTAGTGGTAGCGCACTTGCCTGGCATGTGTGAGGTACTGGGTTCGATTCTCTGGATTGAATATAAATAAATAAAATAAAGGACTATCAACAAAAAAAAAATTTTTAAAAAGAGAGAGAGAGAGAGAGAGAGAAGGCTGGGAGTATAACTTAGAAGTAGAATGCTTGCTTAGCATGCACAAGGCCTAAGTTCTATCCCCAGCACCACAAAAATGTGTGTGTATATAAAATACTGTATATAAAATACTGTATATATATATATATATATATATATATATATATATATAAAATACTGTATATATATATATATATTTGTGTGTGTATGTATGTATGTATATATATACACATATATACAAAATATGCTATTAGGACTCATGACAAGGAGACCACTGCCCTTCATTTTTTTTCCACTTGCATTTTGTCCTACTCTATGTAAGGAGAAAGTAACATCCCAAATCAGGAAAACACTTCAGCCTTCCCCCTATCTAGGTTCAGCACCTACCAGCTCCTCTTTAACATCCACAACCCCTGAGCCATCACTGATCAGTGGAGTGTTCTTCTTCACTCGAGGTACCCTTTTTGGTTTGGATTCCTTGGGAGCTGGCCGCTTACGGCTTCTGGAGACTTTCTTTTGGGGCTCCCAGGCATTATCTTCCTTGTCATCTTCTTCAGAGGCAGATGATCTAGCAGTAAATTGACAGAAGAATTTCCAGGGGGAAAAAATATATCAAAGGTAAAAAACAGACATATGCTTCTTAAAAAACTGATAAATTCAGATAAAATGGAGTGATAAGAGCATAAGCTGTGAACAATTATTACTAAGAATTAAAAGAACAGAGTTGATTAGAGTATAAAAACATCTTCCCCATATCATATCATACACTATAAATCACTGGTCTTGCCACTCTCCTCTCACCTAGTCAACAAACATGTTCACACACACTTTCATGACACGGAAAATCACTTATTACCTTAAGTAATTTACTAAGTCATGTCACACATAATCAATGTGAGCTTTTCAATTTTAACAATGAAGAGCACTTAAATAAGTTCCTAAGTGCTAATCAAATCTATTTAAATTGTATTGTTATTCATTCAATGAAAGGAATGAGTAATGACTGCAGGAAACATCCTAATTACATAAAAAGTCAGCATCAAGGCCTGTCCAGTTGTTTTTATTAACCCTTCTTTTCCTTTCACAGATCTTGACTACATTGGATCAAGTGCAGTTATCATACTTTTTGACAACCAAGCATTATAATACTCAGAGCACGAGCAGAAAGAAAGTAGCCAGTGAATTCTGTTGAGGGAACATCATGCTCCTATCAAGTCAGTTCGATCGGTTTTGGGGTAAAGGATAACCACTTCACTGAGACTAGTGAATACAGATGTCAGGGTTTTTGATTGGTTAAATTCCACTTAAATTCAGTCATTCAGTCAGGCAGCAAAAGCCTGACTGAATGACTTCTTAGTTAAATTATGCTACAGGAGAGCATAATCATGATGGGATGAACCAATAATATCTTTAACAAATATCTTAAGAGTACTTAACATGACACTGTACAGCAAAGATTCTCAACTGGGGACAATTTACAAAACTGGCACTATCTAAAGACATTTTTTATTGTCACAATGGTGGGAGGGGTGCTTATTGGGTAGCAGTCAGGGATGCAACTAAACATCCTACAAGGCCAAAGACAGGCCCCACAACAAAGAATTATTCTGCATACAATGTCAATAGTGCACAGGTTGAGAAACTCTGCTCTAATGTAATATAAAGTACTCCCTATGCTCATGGAGCTTACATTCYAGTGTAAATACTATGTTATGTATTTAATTAGTTACTTTCTCTCTCCTTATKTAACACTTTATCACCAACATTAAAGGCTGGATCACAGCATGAGTTCAAGAAATACTGTTGTATGAATGAATGTAAAAGATACAGCTTTCTTCCACCCAAATGACTTAACAAGTCTGTAAGAGACAAACGCATTACTCCTTAAAATATGTCTCATTCCCCCACTATCATATTAAACCAAGAGGCTTACAACTCCGAGAAGCAAGCAAATTCATCTTTGGATACTGCAGTCTGGACCTGTATTTTTGCTCTTCTTGGCAACAATGACATCTGGAAGAATCGAACATAAAATCAGCATGACTTGAATAGTCTGATCATGGTCATTCAGTTACAAAATGATGTGCCATTTGAAAATAACATTCCAATAGCTCTGCTGCTTAAAAATGCCATAGGAAAAAACAGAAGGCTTATTCATAAGCCAAACACTGGTTTTCCCCTCTAAGTAGCAGCCAATTAAAAGAGCACCAAACACCCTTGCAAAGGACTCAAACACTTTGTGAGTGTGGGCTACCTTTTGAAAAATAAGTTCCCACAGGGTGGGTATTCTGCAAATATTATTAGTAATACTATCAGCCATCAAATTATAAAATCTTATGTTAAACTATATCTCAAAGATAAGAAATATTTTCCTCTCTTCTGTAACTTCTTACAGTATACAGTAGAGGTACCTCTACAAAGGTGGCAGTCAAATGGAATTGATTAACTGAAAAAGCARTCAGGTTATTCCTAAAACAAGACAAGCATTTCTTATAATAACAGTTCATACTTAGATAAAATGATTAATCACTATGCCACTAAAAATATTTACCAGATTCAAAGGCTCATCTATAGAAAAATATCCAGACAGATAGCAAGAGGCATCACAAAATACAGGAAATAAATTTACTGAAGCTGCAAAATTTATTTCCTAAAGATCGTGTGTCAGAACATAAAAAAGTACATTAGACTCTGATATGTTTAGAACCCTTAAACTCTGATATGTTTAAGGTCCTAAACCAGTCATATATTATAGTGCCTCTGGTGGAGAATTGTCACAAATGGGAACATGTTCCCCCAGCAGAAATAGCTCATATCTGTCCAGTAAGTATAGAATTACTGGGAAGAAAGAACAGCACTCAGAGGAAACCAGAAAGGAAAACAGTCCCAAGGAAGTAGACAAAAAAAAAAAACCCTCCCATCTTTGCCTTCACATTCTTTTAGAATATGGTTATGCAGGTAATCCTTCCTTAAATGAGTAGTTCTAAATATTGTTCATAACATAACAGGTAACTCTGATTTCTGTGTTATATGTAATTTACCAGAATAAAAATAAAATAAAACAAGCTGGGGCTAAAGTTAGTAGAGTGCTTGCCTTGCATGCACAAGGCCCTAGGTTTGATTCACAACACCAAAAATATAAAATAAAATAAAACAGAGGAAGTTAGTTTTGACAGGGTGGCAATTCAAATCAGGGCAGGGCAAAAACAGATTAATCAGTATTGAGACAATCAGGTATTCCTCTGAGAAAAACAAGTGTTTAATTCCCACCTCCACACTATGAACAAAAATATATTCCACAATGACTAATTATTTAAAACACACAAAATAAAACTACAAAAGTGCTACAAAAAACAAAGACAACTATTCATAATCTTGAGTAGGTGTAAGGAAACACAGCTTTTCCTGGGCATGACTCAAAATTCCAGAAGCAGTGCTGACACCTTTGAGAACAAGGATGAGGAGGTTCAGTATAAGCTATCTGACACAAGGTTATATATCTAGGTCCCCTACCCAACATGCCAGTAGACAACTGCCCTAGGAAAAGGTCTAGTTTAATTTCCAGAGAAGGTAAACTAGAATCTCCAGACTAAAGTATACCAAGTGCAACTATGTACATGTGAACCATACAGACTGTATGCTAAATGCAGAATCCTCCAGTACTCTTCTTCCACTAAGAACCCAGAATGCCAGTCAGATCCTTGCCCTCTAAGGGCAAACAATGAGAAGGCTTTTTTCAGGAGGATCTGACCACACCCAAAGTGAAAAACTGTAGGTTCTATGCTCTTCATCAAACAACCCACCCAGATCACCTTATAACCATTCCTATCACCCCAACCTACAATATAAAGTAGTTCCTCCTTTATCCAGGGTTTTGATTTCTACAGTTTGTTACCTCAATCAACTGCAATCCAAAAATGTTAAACAGAAAATTCCAGAAATGAATAATCCTTATGTTTTAAACTGCATACTGTCCCAAGTAATGTAATTAAATCTCCACCTTACTCTTTAAGGACATGACTCATCCCTTTGTCCAGCACATCCATATTGTATAAACTACCCACACCCATTAATCACTTAGCAGTCATCTTGGTTATTAGATAGACTATCATAAGATCACAATGCTTGTGTTCATGGAACCCTAATTTTATTTAATAATAGCCCCAAAGCACAAGAGTAGCAATGCTGGCAATTTTATCACAATATATTGTTATAATTATTCTATTTTACTATTAGTTRTTATTAATATCTTACTATGCCTTATTTAAAAATTAACTATCATAAGTAGTATAGAAAAAAACACATGGCATATATCCAGGGTTCAGTACTATTTGAGATATCAAGTATCCACTTGGGATCTAGACATGTATTTTCTAAGGATGAGGGAGCTACTATACCACACAGACCATCATATACCAATTCTATCTCCACATTTTAACCTTAACGGAAATGCATTTAAAATAGGGAAAGACAAGCTGGGCATGGTGGTGCATGCTTGTAATCCCTCCCAGTGTGGGAGGCTGAGGCAGGAGGACTGCAAATTTGCAACCAGCTTTTACAACTTAGCAAGCCCCTCAGCAACTTACTGAGATCCTGTTTCAAAACAAAAAATAAAAAGGACTGAAGATGTTGCTGAGTTCAAGACCACCCCCCCCACACACACACACAAAAAAAAAAAAAAAAAACACTGGCAGGCTTACGTTTGATTAACAACTAGTCTTAAAGAAGGCTTCCCTGAAACTAATATTTCCAACTATCCCTTTATTAGATACCCTAGACACAATGCACATAGAAAGGTGGGTAAAATGGAAACATTTCTTTTCATTGGTGGGAAAAAATATGATTGTAAAGGGAGATAGAAAAGGAGAATCTGTATGAGCACAGAGGCCAATTACAAGCAGATCCATTTTAGAAAGTATTATATACAGAAGCTGAGACCTAGAAATCATTTATTACAAATTATTCATGCCAGTTATACTCCCAGAGGTGTGTTTGCTCCAGTTTAAAGACCAATGTCCTTAAAGGGCCTGTTTCTCCACTTCTATTCCTATCATGTCTTCTTCATATCATAAAAATTATTATGGCACCCATTTCCATGTTTGGGGTTTTTTCTTCAATTGTTTTGTTTTGTTGTTTGGGGGTTTTAGAACTGGAGATTGAACCCAAGGGTGCTTTACCACTGAGCTACATTCCCAGTCCTTTTTTTGTTTGTTTTTTGAGACACCATCTCATTAAGTTGTTGAGGTTAGCCTCGAACTTGCAATCCTCCTGCCTCAGCCTCCCAAGTTACTAGGATTTCAGGTACACCCGGCCATTTCCATGTTTTCAGTTCAGTCAAGTGTCACTTAACAATAGGGACACATTCTGAGAAATGCATCAATAGGGAATTAATTATTATCATGCAAACATCATAGTGTACTTTCACAAACTACAGCTATGACATCATCAGGTGATACAATCTTCTTGGATCACCTTCAAGCATATATGCATCCATCACTGGCATCTATCACCAACATTACTGTTATTCAGCACATGACTGTACCTATATCACCTACTAAACAATCCTAATTCCTCCATCCCAAACCTTGCCTTTAAAATTCTGATTTACATAATAAAATTCCTGCCTCTGAAACTATTTAGATGTCTCATAGTTAACTAAAATTWAAAAAAAAAAAAACAGAACAGAAAGCTTGATAACCATTCCCTGCCCTAAAACACATTTCTACCAGAATCCTTCCCATCTCAGAAAATAGCATCAGAATCCATCTATTTGCTGAGCCAGAACTTGGAATTTTTCTTACAGCTTCACTAAGGTGCAAATGACATTCAGTACACTGAATACTTTTAAAAGGTTCAAATCTGGTAAATTTTGACATATGTATACACATCACCACAATCAAGACAATGAACATATCCATCATTTGTTAAGCCAAAACACTGTGAAATTTTTTTTCTCTTCCATCTCTTATATCCAGTTTATTAGTAAGTCACATAAATTTTTCCTCCAAAATATATCTCTACAATCTTCAGTGGATATTTGGTCCTTGAGTCTGTTTCCTGTTGTTATTTCAGAATAACTATAGACTAGTGGTTGTGAAGTTGACCTTTTTTTTTTTTTAAGTTGTAGATGGACACAATACCTTTATTTTATTTATTTATTTTATGCAGTACTGAGGATCAAACCCAGTGCCTCACAGTTTCTAGGCAAGAGTTCCACCACTGAGCCACAACCCCAGCCCTCAGCCTTCTTCCTGAGTCATATCCTGGCAGAAGGCATCACACACTAGAGAAAGAGCTTTCCAGAAAAAGAGAGCTTTCCAATTCAGATTTCCCTCCCTCTTTTATAATGTCACCGATCCCATCATGAGGGCACCAGCCTCATAATCTCATCTAACCCAAATTACCTCCCAAAGACCCTACCTCCAAATTCTACCAATATATGAATTGCAAATTAAGTGTTCAACATGTGAACTCTGGGGGGATACATTCAAACTATAGTATCACATCTCTCACCTGCACTATGGCACTCTCCCCAACCACCCTCTCGGCTTCCATGCTCTTGTCCTTACAACCTATTATTCACATATCATCCTAAGTCATGATTTGAAAATGTTTTAAAAAACACTTAATGACTTCCTATCTCATTCTTCACTCAGAATCCAATCTCATTTTTTACCATGGTTTTCTATAATGCCCTGCAGATTTGACCTCTGCTTCCCTTCCTAATCATATTTACCATTTGTTGTAGCTCCTAAACTTCAGTCACATTCTTTCATTACCTCTAACAAGCATAATTCTTTCCCAACTCAGGGTCACTCTACTTTTTCTGCTCATCAAATGTGTGGATCCTCTCATCACCTTAGGCATACTATGAGCTTCTCAGTTACACTGTATTTTTTAAAGCCCTATTTATTTCTTTTATACAGCAATATATAGCATAATCTAAAATTATATTTTGTTTTACTATTTTATTAATATAGTGAAGAACATGAAGGAAGGAAATATTTGTCTTA